CCACCCATCCATCCATCCATCCATCCATCCATCCATCCATCCATCCATCCATCCATCCTTTTGTTCTTTCCTTACACAACAAATACTTCCTGGGCATCTACTCTAGATAACTGGGGGCTGGGCCCTCTGTGGGAGACAAAAGGAACAGAAAGCACCTCCCATCTCTTCTTTCTAGATGTCCAGTCCCCAGTATTTTCACTTCCTGCTTTTGTTTAAAAACCCCAGACTCAGTCACTTGGTAACACTTTCTAATTGGAAGCTGAGCTACAAGGCACATGGGAAATGACCAGCAACAAACACCATGAAAGATGAGGAACAGTCTCTAGCTAGGAGAAAAGCCAGCTGCAAGCAGCTGAAGCTGGTAAGCCAATAAGACTGAATGGAAATCACATGATATGCCTGGAATCTTCCCCTAGAGAGCTGAAGTCTGGGTCTGGAGAACTGGGTTCAGGACCGTAGCATATTCCCAGGAAAGTGCACAGACTTGGAAGGTTTTGTATCTGCATTCCTCTCTGAAGGGCTGTGGGCAGTTACATGCCACCCCAAGGAACCTTGGACTTAACACTTAGGGGGCAATTGTGTAAGGTGTAACCACACAATTATACCTGGGCTCTTGCATTTGGGCCACTGTGTGAGGTACTCCACAGGGCCCCTCCAAGGTCCCAGCAGGCCTGACTGAGCCTCCTTTCCCCACACTAGCCTCACAGCCCCCATCTTACTGCCATCATTTCCGCTCCTGCTGTGGGGAACCACCATCTGCAAACACCCCACATCTAAGCGCTTGCTTCACACTGCTTTTGGGCAGACCTAAACTAAGTCACTGCATCTTCTAGAACAGTTTCCGTTTAGTGAGACTGGCCCAGGACATTCAACTGAGCAAGTCATCTTTTTATCTTAAGGCATCCAAGTTGAGCCTTCCATACTGCTGGTAGACATTCCAGCCCGTGTGTCTGGGCAGTCTCAGGCTGGGTACCTTCATCTGCTCAATCCCAATTGTAACAATTACATATTCAGATGACACATCTAAATGCTGACACTTCGGTGTTAACCACAGTTCGAAGAGAGAACACAGACGAGAACACAGAAAAGGCCCCAGTGAGGAGTGCTGTGACTCCACCGATGCTCACCTGGTCTGCCACTTCTCCATGGCCTCCCCCTTTTCCCGGGGGAGGTAACAGTGCTGCTGGAACTCGTTAGCAAAGAGAACACAGTCGTGGCGAGCATCCTTCAGGAGGTTTCGCAGTTTGTTATACTGTCTGTAACACAGGGGACGGAATAAATCTCGCACAGCAGGTACTCATCTCCTGCCAACTGCCGCCAAGGATCGAAACAGGTGAGGCACTTCAGAGCGAGAGATGGATTGTTTAAAACCCAAGGAGTGTCCTAGCACTCGGGAGACTGAGGCAGGAGGATCCTGAGGTTGAGGGTGGTTTGGGAGGCATGGTGAGAGCCTGTCTCAAAAGACAAAATAAGGGCCGGGAAGATGGCTGGGTAGGTAAACGTGCTTGCCACACAAGTGTGAGGACCTCAGTTCGAATCTCCCATAACCCAGATAAAGCCGGGTGAGAGCATGTGTCATCCAGTGCTCACAGTGGGAGGCTGGGGGTGGAAACAGGAAGAGTTCCAGAAACCAGCCTGGTACGTGCAGTGGTGAACAAGATTCTGTCTGAAACAGTGAAAGACCAAGACGTATACCTGACGTTGTCCTCTGACCTCCATGCACACTGTGGCATGTAGGAGTGCACCTGTACACATCTCACACACACCTACACACCAACCAAAAGGAAGGCAATAAACTAGCCCACCCCTGAGAAGCGTTCTTCGTACTGGCTTCCGTTTGTGTGTTAGTGCTTCTCCGTTTTGCCTGTCAGTTCCCTGCACCGGGGAAGGCCTCATTAATTAGTTTGCAGATTAATTAGATTCCTTCTCCTGCGTTCCCTCAGAGATGCCTGGCCATTTTACTATGTAGTTACATTATCTGTGCTCTCACAGCCGCAGCACAGAGGCAAGGAAACCTTGGCATCTTTTTGGCTTCCTACTTTGTTGGCAAACTTTTTTTTCCTTCGAGACAGGGTTTCCCTGTGTATCCCTGGCTGTCCTGGAACTCACTCTTTAGACTAGGCTGGCCTTGAACTCACAGAGATCTGCCTGCCCCTGCCTTCTGAGTGCTGGGATTAAAGGTGTGTACTTTTAAGCATTAATACATTTCCCTTTAGCTGGCAGGCCTAGAAAAGGTCAGGTAGAGCAAACAAGTTTAAGGGTTTATCTGTGAACTGTGTCTAATACTGCCTCCATGATTTCATGAAGAGATAGACCCATTGTCAGACAGTTAACAGAAAGTCTAAGTTTCCCCAGTCCAGAGAGCTTCCAGCGATGTGAGCCAGAACCATGCCCAAACAGCAAGTCTACCATGGGTCAGCTTGTCCGAGAGAGCTTTTCAAGAGCCTGTCATCAAGAACTACAGAAAACACTGAGGCAGTTATTTTAAAAGGAATTGGTTGGGCTGTTGGCTCTGCAGTGCTGGGCTCCAACCCAAGGCCTTGCACTCACTCTGGTTATCTGTGGACAAATGATCACCCTGGCTAATATCCTTCCCTCAGCAAGTGTTTGCTCTGCTCCTGGGCCAGGCCTTTGGCTGGAGAGTAAGCGCTATTGCACTGACTACCCTTGGAGGCGCCATCTGGACAGGCCAGGGCCTCACTTGCAGCAGCCTGACTACAGCAAGCAAAAACAGCTATTCTAACAAGAAAAAGAGATCAAAACCAGAATTGCGAGCCCACTTCTGGGTGCATGTCCAAAAGACAGAACCAGGGACTTGTGAAGCACTCAGCTAGGAGTGCTTGCCTAGAAGGCACGAGGCTCCGGGGTAAACCCCGAACCCTGCTGAATAAACAAGTACACAAATAAATAAAGCCACAAAACCCAACCAAACAAAAACGGGATTCAGACAGGTATCTGGGCACCCACATCCACAGTGGCACCTTTTACAGGAGCAAAAAGGTGGGTATAACTGAATGACAAGGAATAAATGAGCCAAGGTCAATACTGCTTGGCCCTTGAAAGGGGGCTTCTGACACACGCTGTCGCCTGGATGAACCTGGACACAGGGCGTGTGAAGTCAGCCAGTCGCAGAAGCACAGACACCGTGGCTCCAGCTGCATGAGGAACCTAGAGCAGATACATGGAGGCGGAAAGCTGACTTATTACTAGGCTTGGGGTCAAGATGGAAGAGGCGGCATTTAAGCAGTACAGACTTTCAGTGTGGGGAGATGGAAAGTTCTAGAGCTTGCGGTCGTGGATGGCTGCATAATGGCGCTAAGGGCACAGTGCCACTAAACTGCACACTTAGGAACTAGAAAAATGTCAATCTTTTTTTGTTTCGTTTTTTTGAGACAGTTTTTCTGTGTAGCCCTGGCTGTCCCGGATGGAACTCACTCTGTAGACCAGGCTGGCCTTGAACTCAGAGATCCACCTGCTTCTGTCTCCAGAGTACTGGGATTAGAGGCATGTGCTACCACCACCTGGTAATTTTTATTTTCTTTAAGATGGGTTTTCACCTGGGCCTGGTAACACATGCCTTCAATCCCAGCACTTGGGAGGCAAGGGCAAGTGGATGTCTGTCTGTGAGTTTGGGGCTAGCCTGGTATATATAGTGAGTTCCAGGACAGCCAGAGCTATGTAGAGAGACCCTGTTTCAAAATAAACAAACAACCAAAACAACCAAACGAATAGAAAAAGACAGAGTTTCATACAGCCCAGGCTCATGTCCGACACTAGGTAGTGATCTTCCCGCCTCTGCCTACCTGGTGTACGTGGTGCTGGGGGCCAAATCCAATCCAAGGCTTCGTGTATGTTAGACAAGCACTCTACAAACTGGGTTACAGTCCTACCATCTAAAAATATTGAATTTTATGTATATATATTTCATGAAAATTAAAAAAAAAAAAGTTATGCTACTTTGTAAAAAAAGCCCAGACTCCCTCACTTCGGTGGGAAACACTGGTCAAAGGACAGGTCTGTCCTGGCTTCCTGGAACAGGCCTGAGTCCTGAAGCCTGAATGGAAGAGAGCCAGACAAACAGCCAAAGGTGATGAGTAGGGACAGAGCCTTGAAGACGCTCTGAAGAGAGCAGACATGTGCTCCATTCTGTCCTCAGCATTCCGCCCATGGCAGGGCCATAAGGGATGTAGGCCTAGCATCTGTGTCAACAGCGATCCAAGCTCAGGATTTGGGGTCTGGATAAACTGCCACCTTCAGAATCCAGCACCCTTCTGCCAGCTCCGCACACACCACCTTCACTTATTTATTCATTGCTTTTTGAGACAGGTTCTCCCTACGTAGACCAGGTTGGTCTTGAACTCACAGAGACCAATCTGTCCCTGCCTCCCAAGTGCTGGGATTAAAGGCCATTTCACCATCCCTGGCATCACCTTCATTTTAAATTGTATTTAGTATTATTGTGTGTGTATGATGTATGTGGGGCATGTGCATGTCACAAAGCACATGTGGATGGCAGAGGACCACTCTGTGGAGGTGGTTCTATCTGTCCACCTTATGAGAGTTCTGTGTGCTTCCATTTGTCAGCTAGAGAAAGGACATGGACAAATGGCAGGAGAATACTGATGGGGAAGACAGGGATTCGGCAGTGAATCACTCTGGGTGTTGACAGTCAGGGCTTCTTGGAGATGTGTAGGCTTGCGGTTATAATTTAGTAGTGCACACATAACAATACAGTCATAATTCCTGTTAGCAGGCTTTGCAGTGTTTATGATAGCGTCAGCAGACAGAAGCCTGTGTGAAGTCAGCACAGAGAAGCTTCAGAGCACTGTGGACATGTTTCACCAGAGCGACGGCAGTGGCTTAGACAGTCAAGATCTTCAATCTTAAAACATTCAGTCTTAGGCTGGACGTGGTGGAGCACAGCTTTGATCCTAGGACTTTGGAGGGAGAGGTAAGAAGATCAGACATTCAAGGTTATCCTTGGCTACAAGGAGTTTGAACCAGCATGGGCTACAGTAGACTCTCTCAAAACAAAAGTTTCAGTCTTACTGAAAAAACAAAACAAAACAAAACAAAAACTAATTTTCTTAGGCAGGCTTAGATGTTTTCCAAACTTTTATCAATTAAATGTTTCAAAAAATTTCCTGGAGATGGATAAACTAACTTCTTTAGACTGAATCTTTGGGAAGGGAGTAGGGAGGGGCAGGTACACCATCTTGTTATGTTGCCCAGGCTAGCTGTGAACTCCCGGGGTTCAAGTCAGCTTTCTGTCTCAGCCTCCCAAGTGCTGTGATTGAAAGAACATGGTGCTATGCCCAGCTTGATGACATTTTACTATTTTTATTCAATGGGATAGTGGCCTTGTCGACAGATGCAACCCTCCCCCCAACAATGGTGATGGTGGCCTTGCCTATAGATACAACATTCCCCTTTGCTGGTGATGGTGGCCTTGGCTACAGATGCAACATCCTGTCTCTGCTGATAACACCCTCTAAGGCAGCGATTCTCAACCTGGGGGTTGAAATTCCTTGGGGGAGTGGAATGACCTTGTCACAGGGGTTGCATATCAGATGTCCTGCATATTAGACACTTAACATTATGATTCATAACAGTAGCAAAATTACAGTTATGAAACAGCAACAAAAATAATCTATGGTTGGGGGTCACCACATGAGGAACTGTATTAAAGGGTTGCAGCATTCAGAAGGTTGAGAACTGCTATGGGATATCTTATCACACTGTGTGAAGATATGCTGCTGTCTTACCTTGCCTGCCTAAGGCATCTGATTGGTTTAATAAAGAGCTGAATGACCAATAGGTAGGCAGGAGAGAATAGGCAGGACTTGTGGGCAGAGAGAGGAACTCAGGGTTAGAATCAGGAGATCCCAGCAAGACACTGAGGAAGTTGGATGTATAGAATATGGAGGAGAGGTAAAAAGCCATATGGCAGAAAGTAGATTAATAGAAACAGGTTAATTTACGTTACAAGAGCTAGTGGGATAAGTCTAAGCTTGCTTTCATAATTAATAATAAGTCCCCGTGTCATTATTTGGGGGTTGGGGTTCCCAAAAAGAAAGTCCGACAAGAAAGACCTGCTTTAGAGAACTACTGCTCTAAGGCCTAGAAGAACTGGGAAATGAATCCAGTGGAGTCTTCCTCTGCTGGGCTCTGCAGGGCCATGCTAGGGTCTCCTAGACCTACTTTCAGGTGTCTTACAGTTTTAATATGTTTATGTTTCTAGTCCTATTAGCTAATG